TTTTTTTCTGTCAATCAATGGTTTGCAGGAAGTTCCACCATGGTTTTCACCTAAAATCCAGTAAAACTAATCCTAATTTCCCAGGCTCTTGAGTAAGTTTTTCAGCTTCAGTGTTCATAAAATTATATTTGTGAAATGCGTACGATTTGTACCATCTCACCTTCCAACCTTTTACAAGGCTGAAAGCCATAACCGATCTGGTTTTATTGATATTTGGATATTTAAATATATACACAAGCACAAAGATTTTCAAAGGAGGTCAATGAGCTTGACTTCGGTTAAACCAAGCAGGTCTTCTGTACCTAATGATGGCAGCCCCACCAGATATGCAGTTTCAGAGTAGGGTTTTTTTGTGCTACAGAACAAAATTTGTGAAATTCATTCACTTCAGAAAAATTAAGAGCCAAGGAACAAGAAGAGAACCTGAGGCCCTGAGCCACCAAGTCTTTGCGTATAGCTGAAAAGGCCATCTCCACCTATGCAGGGTTTCTCAGAACAGTGAAGAAATCAACCTCCAGCTATGGTGGTACAGAAAAGCACATGCTGAAACCAGTGTCAGTGCACATAACGGACTTAGAAGTTATACTGTAGGCAAGAACTGCATTGGAATGAAGTACTGTAGCTGTCATTTCCTAAAATGTTAACAAAAATAATTAAGTTCTGATGATATTAAAAGACATTCTTCTGCACTGATGCTCAAATTAGCCACCTTTGGAGCAGAAGACGACACTTACAGGCTGCTGCTGGGGGAAGGCAGCTATATCAAGAGCAAACAGGAATAGCCAGCTTGTGACTGATGTGGGTCAACACTGGAGCAAGGGTTGGACACAAAGGGAGGATGTTCAGCACACGAGCACACGTACCCGAGGTGGCCTCAGACCCAGGAGCAGCGATCAGGATGCTCCTCGAGCAAGACCCTCTGCTTGCCCCCCACTGCAGGCAGACCCCTTCCAGCAGGCTGCAACCCAGCCCTAGCCTCTCCTCTCCACCCAAAGCTGGGGTACTGGGGTTTGCTCCCGTAACCCACCCCACCACCCAAACCCCTCTGCACTCACCCCATGCCACACATCACCCCCTGAGAGCTTGCAATTGCAAAACACCGACTAACGAGCTGCAGAGTTGAGGTTAAACCATTAAAGCTAGCCCACGCTGAGTATTAGATACTGGGCATTTTCCAGCCAATGCCCCCAATTTGTCCCAATTGCCTGGGACAAATAATATCAAGGCATACTGTGACTTCTTTTGTTTATACACACTAAGTATGTCAAACTAACTCAAAGATTTATTTTTCCCACATCCTCCTGAAATGCAAAACCATATTCTGCAGTCTGGAACACAGCTTTTCTGCTTCCTTTCTACACAAGGGATCTTCATAAGAACGCTTTGTTTCTGAAGCTTTTAATTAAAAATCTGAGGAAAGCAATAAAAGTCTGAAGATAACGTCTTTATTTTAATGAAAACAAACACAGATAATCTTTAATTGCCCTATGTATCTTCCAATATTCATCATCCCGAGTATGCACGTATGAGAGATGGCAGCAAGAGGAGAGATAGCTTGAAAAGTCACTTTGAGCCCACGTTGCTGCCCTCCAGCATCACGAGGGTGCGGCTGGAGGTCCGAGGACACTCCAGCCCAGTTTCAGTCCCCTGGCCTCCTCATATCCGAAAAGCTGGAGCTTGTGACAGCTGCAAGTAGGGTGTCAGCAGCACAATCTCAAAGGCTTTTTCTTTTCCCTAAAAAGTACTCAAATGTTTGCTTTAGCAGTTTAATCCACTCGGCGTTGAAGCCCAGCCTTACCTGCTGCATCCTCAGAGAAAGCTTGCTATCTCCATAACGCTTTTTTTTGCATTTATTTTGCATCTAAGAATGTTATTATATCTTAACAGCCATGTTTAAGACTGATTAATGTTACTAAGTTGCATAGTTACTATAAATATTTGTAATCACACAGACATACACACACAATTTGGCAATAATTGCTCTGCGTCCAGAGTAAGTTTTCATGATGAGCCACAGCATCACTCATGTCCCCCTCATTCCATCTATCCAACTCTCCTATCTATTGGGAGCAGGGGAAGAGGCTAACGAACCTGCCCGCAAAGACTAACACAGGCTTAAAGCTCAGGTTCAGGAATATAAAACCATATATATTGTGGGTTAACAGTCTCACACAAAGACAGAAAATGCTGCCTGATAAGGACCATGTGATGCAATACAATCCAATGCTTGCTTTAAAGTATTTCCACTTTATGAGAACCTTTTCCTTGCTAAGGTCAAACAGCCACTTGCACTGCTTTGGCGTATTAAAACCCTGCCTTAAGCATTTTCCAACGTGGCAAATTTTCCCTTCCCTGTTTAGATATATCATGCTTCATACAGCTGGGGGGCACGGCATCATAGGCACCATCTGGGATCCAGACACAGGTTCCTCAGAAATGCTTTAAATTATTAAAATCTACTGTATTTACAATTTCTACAGTGCATAAATTTTGGAATATATTGCATCTGGGGGGGAGGGAGGGGGAACCACACCAAAAACCAGACTAATCACTTGGGTCCATTCTCTATTCTACTTTAAAAGACTATGCCCCATCTCCTAAAGAATTTCCAGCTCCGTCCTGCAGGAAGGACCAAAGAATTCACACCATTCGGTGTGCAATATTTTTCTCAGGAATGCATTCCTCCTCAGCCACACAGGAGCAGGTAGGATAAATACTTTCAACCTCTCTTCAGTAAGAAAAATCAGGGAACATGCTACATCTTAAACAATAAAACAGAGACTTTTAAAAATTAATACTTTGATAATAGTGTTCTGGGCTTAACTATCCTTTTTTCCGTAGGACAGAAAATAGAGGCATGAAGCAATTCAGTCAGTTTACAATGAGTGCTACTGAGAGCGAAGCCCAAAGTGACAGATCCTGAACCCCCTAATTTATGACAAGTTAAACATGCTCCCAAACAAGCAGGAAAAAAAAATTTTAAAAAAATTAGTATATCTGTGTAATAAATTGCTCTGATAAGCAAGACATTTTTAAGACTCATGAAGTTTCAGCGAATCTCGTGTCTCATTGCATTCACAAAGGAACATATTTGTGAGAACAGCTTCAGAGTTTGCCCACCAACATCCTTCAGTTAAAATGCCTTCAGAAATGTTCATTCTAGAGACTTCCTAGATAGCAAACGCTGCCCGTAGGTTAACTTTGCTAACGCTACTCGTCTGCCATCTGTTCTAGTCTAAATGCCTTCTCTAAGACTACTGAATCTGCTTTAAGAGTCAGTATATTTAAACAGAAGGAAATTTCATCATTCTTTATCTGATAGCCAATTTTCATGGACTGATGCTTCTCAACTCAGATTATCATAGATGTGTACCAGTTACAAACCTTTTTCTCCTTGAAACAAGCTTTCCATATGCAATTATCTCCCCCTCTCACCTAAAACGATATTCCTGCAAGTATATATAAAAAAAATTCAAGAAAGTGTGAAGAAGTAACTCTAAATTTTGGCACAAAGTTCATTCACTCAGCTCAGCCACTGTTCAGGTACAGTACAAACACCAGTCAGCTCAACACTTCCAAGTTCTTGCAAGGTACACAGACTTCTTGTGCTACAGGAAGGTACCAAACCTTGAGAGCACATCTGAACAAGGAATATCTCCCTTATTCAAAGTGTGCGACCCTAAAAGATGAACCAGCACACACAGCACTACGTACAGTGCCTGGGCTCGAGCCAAACAGTGAAAAAACAGGGTTTGGTAAACACACCTTTACAAAGAGCAGGCAAGCAGAAAACTTGCTACACCATTGCAGGTGCAGTGAGCGAACCAAGCCAAAATAAAACTTCCCAAACTACATCACCGTGTATTCTGTACAGACGTGCTATGGCACTGCTAGCTGCCCCTCCACTTTACACTCCAAGCTTTTTAGAGCTTGCAGTGGAGTACCTTCAGGAAACTATTGAAATTCTTGGACCAAAAGGTTAATTATCGCTCCCCAAATCCCCACAGGAGTTACAAGTGGATTAGAAGCAGAAGCAGAGGAAGCAACAGCTCTGGAAGGGACATGAAAGCATTAAATACAGTCAGCAGTAGTGGAAATTAAGTGTGGGAAACTTTAAAAAAGAAAATAAAATAAAAGCCAGTGCTAGAAATGCCATTTTGGGTAGTCTAGAGAAGAGGGATTACTGTCAAGCAGGCAGAGACATTCGTAGCTCTGCCCTGCGCAACTCTGCAGCTCTTATCCCCATGAAGATAACTGAATATTCCTATACAATTGTCTTACAATACAGGACTGTTTACTGGCAGAATTGCCTTTTGCATCACTCTCCATCTGGCTGCTGGCAAAAACTGAGGTGTTTTACCAGCTCCAGTCTGCTCTTTTCTACATACATAGAAACTGGTCTTTTGAGAAAAGCCTTTTCCCTGAAGCTCAGCATTTCCAGGTACAGCTTATAGCACAGCTCTACCATGCTGGCATGCCTGAGGCTTCACGTATCCAGTAACACATAAGGGTGAGCAACACCAAGTACACCCAGAGCATCTCATCAGAAGCAAGTACTATCAGCTCCAAAGCATGAGGCACTGATCTGCGTGCTGGCCACACTGCAGTCTGGAAGACTCCACATGCCTCGTCTCCCACCAGCTCAGCTATGATGCTTCCTTACCACCAGCTTCTAATAGAGACTGTAATTACACCCTGGAAAAGCACATGTCCTTATAAAACTACCACCCATTTATGGAGTAATATAAACTATCTTCCTTAAGGAAGTCATTCTTACATGAATCTAACTTGTAAGGCAGGAACCGCCTTCAGATAACTGAGATAAATCTCCTTCAACAAACACATAACATTTGCTTCTACATTACATAACAAATCACGTTAAGAACAATTAACGTAGTCCATTTTCTGCCACTATGTGCAAAGATCAAACAAAGCGTTTGTTCCAATTTCATTCCATTTTAGAACTGTACTTTTAAAAAAGCGAAGACATCAACTAAAGCTTCAGGAATAGGATGAAAATGATAAAGCGTAAAGGCAGCTAAGCTTTGCAACATATGAGGGCACATCCAGACTACAGGCCAAAAAAGTCTGACAGGAAACTGGTATTCCAACTAAAAGTACTTAAAGAGATAAGATAATGAGGTCTACAAGCATCATCCAACAAACATTTATGCAGAAAAGGAACCTGGCCCAGAACTGTTCTGCTGAGTCATATTTGCATAGCACAGCAAAAGCAAGAAGTAATGCACTTCCAGTATGTCAGCAATTCTTTTTACTCCAAAACATTAGATGAGAAGCTAGTTTAAAGGCAATGGAGGCATCCACCAAGGAAGGCTGCTGAATCATCACTGGTGGGGAAATTCAAACATTGACTTAGAGCCCTATCTCAAAGGAGGGCTCAGAAGACTTCATTTATTCTTTCTGTAATACAGGAGGACCTACTGGACAGTCTAACTTCATAAATTGTTTCCAGCAAGGAGGAAAGGGCATATTAAAAGAGCAATTATCCTATACACTATCAGTAAGATTGTTCCTTCACTTAAGCATATTAATATTGGACTTGGTAAATAGAGCCATTAAAAGCTTTCTTTTCTATTTTTCCAGTTGAAGCACACTGTGCAGAAATGACTTAAAAAAAAGTCACAGCAATGAAAATCTGTATCATAATGAGAACCCAGACAAGCAAACAGACTTAGAAGCTTACAAGAAAAGCAGAAAGTATTCTTCCTCTCAAGGCTGGTGTAGCTCAAAGCACAGCTTCCCCACAGGAGGGAAGAACAAATGATCAAGGGAATGAGAAGTAACAGGATGACGTTTTATATTGATTCATGAAGGACAGCTTATTTCCACCTTGGTTAAAATACTTTGCTGAAATGTCTCAAATCAGGAGGGAACCAAGTTGAGTAACACAGAAAAATTGCTAGGGTATATGTTCTACAAAGAAAAAGATTAACCCAAGATGACAGGTTTGGGAACGTACCAACTATCAGCTTGAACCTCCAGGCTGTATCCTGACATAAAGGCTTCGTTATGGTCTTACAATCATTCTACCTACTTCTGATCAAGCTTAGTAGAGAATATCTCCCAGAAGAACATGAAAACAATTATAAACTTGCCCTCCTTCAAAAGCCCACTCAAAATTCACTTCTGCTTCTTATAATGAAGCACAGGGTAATACATAGGACTGCCAGGATCCGTACATTTAGGTAAGCAAAGAATAGCAGACATCACAGGACTCGTCTTCAATTCTCCATTTCTTTCCTTCTTTCCCTTTTTTACCATCTCAGCATTTTTGTTTTAAGTTCTTAAAATCTCATCACAGATATTAGCAACATGTCTGGACAACAGCTAGCACAAGTAAATCATGAGACTAACTTTCTGCAAAGTCCTCAAATATATAGCATTTATAGCCATTATTTCAATCCCATTATTTTAACTTCAGTGAACACACATGCAAATAGTCACATTAAATTTAACGGTACACTTAAAGCATTGCTTTTAATGTCGTCCCAGTGTAAGGGCAGATTTCTACCTTCCAGGAAATACTCTGCCCTCCCTAGTGCTAGGGAAAGCCATCTTCCCCATCTTCAAAATCCCTTGGTGGCCCAGAAATAGTTTATTTAAACCATTTAAAGTTTATTGAAAGCCATTTTCTGCAAAGCTCACTGACCTGCTGTGATCCATCGCCATTCACGATGTGAGGCATCATGGCTACCTCCCCGTTCAGCAACGGTGGCAGCTCCAGCGGAATTTGGTCGGTCATCATCATTGTGACGTACATTCATGGAGAATTTTCCTCAACGGGCTTCCTGCAAAAGAAGCATTAGTTAAAGACCCTGGAAAACGCACTTGTACTTTAGAAGGTCACCAGCATCCACATGGATTTTGCCATTAAGGTAGCAACCTAAGCTGGACACCTGCTTTTGTAACAGGATGCGTATGGGAAATTGAGGCACTGAACGGAGGTTTTAACTGTTAGATCAAGAGCATGGAAAGTCAAGTTTCCATGCAAGACTTCCAAAAACCAGCTAGCCAGATTTCCACTCTTCCCCACGATTATAATCCCCAGCCCTCAACGCACTGCTGAAATAGGCAAGTTCTGAGACACTTTGAGGGAGATTTGCTCTGTTCCTAAAAATCAGCATCCTGCTTGCTACCACAGCTCTTGGAACTACATCATCTGTGTGGTTAAGATGTTACATCAGTTTCACTCGATAGCCACAGTTCAAAGCCAAACACCTTTATTTTCTTTCTACGGCCCTGTAAACAGTGTGAACTCTCACCTACAACACAAAGAGCAGATGCCTGACTGCCACTTCATCATGATCCAAAGGACTAAGGTTTCTGCTGGAGTGGGAGGGACAGCACATCCCCAAGCTCCAAATACCTTGCACTATACAGAGGACAACAGAATATGATCTCACTTAAGGATTTGTGAAGAATCACATATCACTTCCAGCATACCCTCCCTCTTCACAGCTAACTGATGTGATACGTAAGCATCACTAAAACCATGGGGAGATTGCTTTGTAAAAGTAAGTCTTAATTCAGCAGTAAGGGTACCATCATACTGTTTCATGGGGCAATAATCCAGTTCTTTAGTGAATAAGATGGATGACCTAATCACATAGCTTATCTAGACTTCTGCACAAGAACTCCTAAGCAAAGCAACCTTACAGGTCCAGTGCTGATCAGGCAGCCTCCTTAGTACCTCTCATGCCAGAGAATCCCAAAGTCCTCCTGAATAATTTCATATACATCACAAATCCAAGTTAGAAAAAAAATATGCTGTGACTTAGGTGGCTGGTAATAGCCAGGTAATCAGCTGGCATAAGACCACCAGAGTATAAAGAGGGGAATTTTTGGCAAAGAGCAACAGGGAAATCCCTGCTCACGGGGAAAGTATTGTGGGATCTAGTATTTACATGAAGCAATTGACTACGGAGCCATAAACCAGGAGTTTAATTCATCTTCTCCAGAGGGGACAAAGAGCTGAGCCAACCTCACCAGGGTTGGAGCATGCGGTTCCACGGATGTTGCATGGTGCAAACCTAACACCCCCATACCTGGTCTGCCCCCAGGTTCTGCTAGGCTTTAAATTTAGATTTTTTTTTTTTAATTTAACAACTAAACTGATAGTTCAGTTAAAATACACCCTCTTCATTTTCATCAACCTCTTCCAGAGCTCATCGCAATCCCATCACTTGCAGAGCGACTTGATGATCAGGAACATCAGCCGGACCAGTAGCTGGTACTCCAGCTCCTGAAGAGGACCACTCGTGATTTAAAAGTGATGGTGGTGCCCACACGGACTGAATCACATCTATCCTTTCATTCTTATCACACGAGCCCCCTTCATATCTAAGTAGTACTGGAAGACTAAAAGTGCGTTTGTTTTTCAGAAGACGTGCAAACTTAGCCCTGTTACCTCCAGCCATACATCTCAAGACCAGCATTTTAATTTAACTCAGTACCAAATTTAGCATCAATCTCACAGCTCTTTCCGATGTTCTTATTCACGTGAAAACACCACTTTTCTAATCATCACTTCACTGAGATATAAACAGAGGCAATCTATTTTCATCCACCTTTAAACAAAATCCCTCCTTTTCTTTGAGACTCAATTACAGGACAGAAGTTCTCAGAAAGCTTGAGACAGTTGTCAAGAGGATGGTACATCCACAGCTGGGCTTCAAGTCCCATCTCCTGCCTGCATCAACTGCTTTGTCCCAGAGTCTGGCAGTGTTTTAGTCCTACTGTCACCACTACCCTGAATAATCTGCCCTGCAGTGCATATATCCATGGAGTAAGGAATAAGGATACTTGCGAAACACTCCTGTAGCCCACAGGATCAACCTCTCTGATTTGGCACGGGTCTATCAGTGATCAAAGCCTCCCTAGCTTAGTCATTCAAAGCTCTGACCCAAGCATTACAAGGGCTACAGAAATCTGTCCAACAGCCCAGAAGCTTTGCTCAATGCATTTTCCCCCTGAAGCTTTGCAATATTTGGAGCTTCTTCCTAAACCTTTTGCTTCTCATTACTTCACAATCTCAGGTTTTCATAATCCAAGTCGACAACCAATATTGAAAGGTGTTGGGTTTTGGGGGTAGCGAGGAAGAGTGGGGCAGTGTGATTTTAGTTTTTGGGGAGTTTTGTTTGTTTAAAATTATGAGGAAAGAAAGAACATGTCAGTTTTTGAACCATTTCTTAAATACTTGGGATTAAGAAAAGGACTGAAAAAGCCTAATACTGAACACCAGTGAGAACATGAGTTAACAGCTTTCAGTGGAAACAGACTGATTTAGTCAATAGTCAGTTGTACCTCGAACTACATTGGTTATACATGTAGTTGTGTATCTATAGTTTTTGTGTGTGTGTACATATATATATTCATATATAAATAAAGATTATTTTAAAAGAATGCAATGTTCATAGGAACTATTTTAAACCCATGTAAAACAATACCCCCCTCCCCCAAATAAACTACATGTTCATTTAGTCCGAATCTGAAAGCCCCAGCTTTAACAGAGTTTAAGCATCACGCCGATGCTATTTTCTTAAGGAAAAAAAGCCAGACTGTAGCTTGAAGCTACATATTTTCCTAGTAGTATTTCCATTCCAGGCACAACAACCAATATGTTGACATTTATTTGCTACATGCCATTATTGAAAGTTTTACAGCTGCATTCCTTTTGCTTTATTAACGGTTTGTCACTACAGCCATGTCTGCACTTGCCTCACTTTAAAGGGGGGGAAAAAATAAAATAAAATAAAAAGGGCTTCCTTTATTTATCAGGTCTGGTACGACCCCACCAGAGGTAATGCCAGCAACAGTACTGGCTAAAAAGCACAGCTGGCCACAGGCATTTTTTTTAGCAGTATTTCACATAGATGTACTCCACGCAGAGTTAGATGAGACGAGGTTAAAACATCTACCATGAGACTGGCAGACTTCACACCAAAACCAAAACCTTTGGAAATGGGCTTCATGCACTTTCTTAGCTTATTTGCTCATCCATCCTACTTAAAACAGATTTATTCACCATGCATTCACACCCTTCCTAAAACCTAGTGTCCTCCCTACCTCAGGGGATGCTCATATAAGCAAACTTGATTAATACAAAGAAGGTGAGGTCTCAACACAAGCACTTTCTTTTTCCTGTAAATTCAGGAACACCAATGGAAGAAAACACCAGACAAGGACTCAAAGAGCCAGGTCACATTTCAGGATATGAGAACTCTTCCTGAGTTAAAACATGAACTGCCAAATACTAACCCACAACTTTTTTTTTCAGGTACTAACTCAAATTTGGGGTTTTGTCTAGAAAGCTGACTATATTTAAATTTTAAAAAAGGTATTTCCTGTGCGTCTACATTCCCTAGGTTTGGCTGGGACTGACCACAGCAACGCCAACATGGAGCTAGAGGCTGCATCTCCCTGCCTAGCTACCTCCAGGAATATGGGAAATCACAGCTTCCCATCTTACTGTAGAGCAAGGAAGAAGAAATGACCATCCAAGTCGGATGTTTCTCTCCCCAAACCAAACTTCCAAACCTTTTGATGTTTGCAAGTTACTGTTACAAACCTGATTTTCAGTTCAGTACTGCAGTCTTCTACTGATCGCCGAGATGACTCTGTTTTCTTAAATTAATTCAGTATGTGAATTAGTAATACATAAATTAGTTGCACGTGGCACTAGAAAGAAAATTAAAACACACAGAAGAACAAAGTGTAATTATCCGATGTCCATGTACGGTGAATTAATATGACCCAACAGGTTACGTCAGAGTTCATCTGAAATTCCAGAAGCAGTGTGAACCACATCAAGATACCCAAGTCCTACTTTTCCTAGAAGGTTTTACCCATGCTATTAATGGGGCTATAAGCCAAGAACATTTTTCTTTTTGTGATTTTTTCCACCTTCTGCCTTTTACAAAGCCGGAGAGAACCTCTTCCGGCTATGGCAGACAAATTCAGAGAACCTGGCAAAAGCAAGAGGAGTTCTGAATATTCAGTCCTGTGACTGCTCTCTGCAAAGGCTCAATTTTTATTTCCCTGCAGCAGACCATTAAAAGCTACTGAACAAAGTGTTCTGCTTTTTTATCAGAATCATCTGGAATTACAAAAGTTGTACTACTACAAAGATGACAGACAGTTTTCCAATACCTAGTAGAGCCACATATCCTGGTTTATTTAACAAACAACAAAAATCCAGTACTAAACGCACATTTGCACTCGTGTAGTGCTTACTTAGGGTTATTCCATCTGATTAGAAAAGAACATACTTCATAAAGAGTAAGAAGCTACACCACCTTCAATCCTAGAGTTACTATAGAAAAGATTTGAAACACACACAGTACGAAACTTCAAAAGGAAGAATTTTCTCTTTCCAGCCTAAAAAAAAACCAAACCCTTACAAATTCAACATGATGAAGTTCATACATAGACAGTGCATGCACACACACACAAGCCCAAACAGTGCATGCAGCAATTAATAAACAAGCAAACAAAAACTCCTCAGATATTCTATAAGATTTGTCCTCGGGCATGACAAGCAGTTTGCCCATGGCCCAGCCACCTCCCAAACCAGCTGTGACCACAGCCCCTCCTGGCCACCAGCCACATCATTGAATGAGACCATCCATTTCTCAGGCTGCTTTCAATGATATTAAGCTCAAATGCTACTCAGCAATGGCAACCATCAGAGAAAGCCAGAGGCGCACTGGTGCTCAACCTTCCCTTCCTAAATTTAGGATAAATGTGTAATTGTTGTGATCA